GCCTGCTGGCTAGGTGACCTTGGGCAGATCGCCTGTCTTCAGTTTCTTCATCTCCTGTTATTATTCTTCAGTCATTGTCATGACTCTCTGCGCCCCATGGACTGCAGCATGCCAGGCTTCCCTGACCTTCACTACCTCTTGGATTTGCTCGAACTCATGTCCATTGAGTCAGTGATGCCATCCAACCATCTTATCCTCTGTCGCCTCCTTCTCCTCCTGCTCTCAATCTTTTCCCAGCACCAGGGTCTTCTTCATCTCTATCATAGGGATAATCCACACCTCCCAGGTCTGTGTGACAAGTAGTCAATAAATCAGAGTGAGTTGTGTTCATCTAGCATAGAATCCGAGCTATGGTTATTCCTACTTATATTGTCCAATCTACTTCCTGTCTTTTTCCACTTTCAGAAATGGAAACTTGAAACATATAATCTCCAAAGAATCTCCTAAAATAACAGAAGTTACTTAGAAGTGAAAAGTGGAAGGTAGAAGCCTGATTATGCATCAGCTACTTGTTAGGCAGAGATGAAAGCACTGTCTTCAAATGAATTTCCTGCCGACCGTGATGATAAATTAATAGCGAACTATTTAGGCACCGTTTATCTCTAGGGAGCTCTAGTCATTGTGCTGACACAATCTTCACAACATCCTGGGGAAGAGAGGATGAGTGATTTAATCACCATCTTCAAGAAGATGGAGGGTTATCATCTGGCTGGTGACCAGCTGTTTTCACCACAACCAAAGCCAGATAAAGAGCCAGCAGTCCTAAGTTGCTGTAAAGATCTGAGTTAAACCCTTCAAGATACGTCTTAAAGAGTTCCACTCAGGCAGTACTTCATTTCAAAGTACTGAATCATGTGGCTTCTATTTACAGTTTTCCAGTGGCAAAGTGAAAAATGTATTTCTTTACAGTATCTACACAGTTTGGCTTAACACCTGGGTGATTCCTTTGGGCAGGTCTACCCTTGAAACGACTCCAGCCAATTTTCATGACAGGCTACTTGGCAGTTTTCCAGGGACATTCAAGAAAAGGCTCTGAGCAGGTTATCCCATGGCTGGGTGAGCTTCAAGCAGCTAACCCAGACCCAGTCTGAAGGTTAAACAATGAAATGGGTTTAGCTACCTGAGCCTGTGAAGGGTGTCTATGTGTTGAGCACGAGTGTGTATGTCATTAGAGCAGTTGTAGGACCTTCAAAACCTCAGGTTCTTGGGAGAATGATATATAATTAATTATAATTATAAGCAGTCAACTATCACTCTTCCTTTCTCTGGTTGCCATGGTGAATGAAAGGTATGGTTGCCTTTCTACTTAAGGGCCTGATTCAGAAATTGTATGTTCCACTTTGATTCCCACCTTCTGGGCTAGAATTAACCCATTTGGCCACATGTAGTCTCAAGTAAGGTTGGGAAATTATTTTACACATATGTTTCCAGGTGTTCACTGAAAATCCCATGACTAAGGAAGTTGAGAATATATATTAGGGAAGGCTAATTGTCTCTGTCACAGTTGGGGATAAAAATAATGCTAGCTGAATGTTATTGAGTACTTACTCTCAGCCAGGCAGTGTCCCTTAAATCATTCAGTCTTCACAAAAAAATGCCATTGGAAGGCATTATTTTCAGGCTTCCCAGGTGGCGACAGAACCCCCCTGTCAATGCAGGAGATGCAAGATACTCAGTTTCCATCCCTGGGTCGAGAAGATCCCCTGGAGGAGGACATGGTAACTCACTCCAGTATTCTTGCCTGGAGAATCCCATGGACAGAGAAGCCTGGCAGGCTACAATCCAAGGGGTCCCAATACGTGACTTTGAGTCACGACTGAAGCGACTGAGCACACATGGACACACATCATTATTCCTATTTACAGATAAAGCAGCTGAGGCTTAGAGAGGTTAAGTTACTTACTATGGTCATGAAGCTAAGGCCGAGGCAGGATTCAATCCAGACCCTCTCACTCAAGAGCTTGATATCTTGGGAGTAAAGAAAGAACTAATGATAGAGACAGCAAGCAGGACGGGGGCAGTTTTTATCAGAGAGGTCCTGCACTGTGGGAGAGTGGCAAGTCACGAATCAGAGATGAAGCCCTGTGGGACTGACCAAGCAGAACAGCTTGCTCAGTTCCACCAGCGAGTGTGGCTTACGTGGGGCAATTTTCTACTGTATTTCCAGAAGTAGCAAGGATGAAGATTGGACCACTATTCCTCTTTGGAGTTTTAAGACTGGAGAGTTGAGGGGCTTTCCTCCGATGTTGGTAGTACGACCACCTCCCCAGCCTAGGCCAGACTTGCGGGGCGAGGGCTCTGGCCTTCTGCCTCCTCCCCACCAGCATGCACTGCTCTAAATGTCTAACGTGCTGTCCCAGAAGGGCCACAGCTGGCCGGGCCAGATGGGGCCACTTCTTTGTGTCACAGTCACAAGTTAGAGGACATTTGAAAACTGTTTTCCAGGTTTTTTTTTTCCTTCTTCTTTTCATGAAAGGGGCTTTTTGTTAGTACAGTCTTTGTTTAAGGATGATAAAGGGACCATTTTATTGGAATGAATTACTGACGCAAGTGCTGCCAGAGGTCTGAGGGAGAGGACAGCCCTCTGGCTTCACTTCAGCAGGTGAAGGGAAACAACCAGTGGTCGCTGGTCTCAAGGGCACTTGGGAGCTTGCTCCATCAGCAGTTTTGAGTTTAGCTGCTGGCTGAAGCTGAGTCCAGGAGAGGCAGTCAGACAAAGTACTAGCAATAATACTAATAAAACATAAGACCTTTTCCTTTGCACATGAAAAATGTCAAACGATCAGGAATGTTGTCCAGGGATACAGAGAATGAACTCTTTCTACCTATTATCAAATTGTCAAGAATCACCTGCAGTGCAGGAGACACAGGAGATGTGGGTTCAATCCCTGGGTCGGGAAGATCCCTTGGAGGAGGAAATGGCAACCCACTCCAGTATCTTCCCTGGAGAATCCCATGGACAAAGGAGCCTGGTGGGCTACAGTCCATGGGGTTGCAAGGAGTCAGACGCGACTTACAGACTAAACAACAACAAATCACTACTACAAATGGAGCCCCAGTAACAATCTCAGCTCATCTTTCTGAACCCCTGTAAAAGTCAATCCTCTCCACTAAGCCAAAACTGAATGTTGATGGGGGAAAAGTCAAACATTTGAAAGTAAGCCAGGTTCTCAGGGATTCGCTTATACATGGAACATTTAAAGATACTTCAAAATAATTTTCCTCAAGTGGTGCTCAAGGAACTTTAGAAGATACGAAAATGCTAGTAAGCCAAACTTGTACATTTTAACTTGTGCCTTCCCCGTGTCTAGAGTGTGCAGTGCCAACATAAATTTGTGAAGACATATGGGTTGATAGTATATTTGGGCCCATAATCTCATCTGCTGTTTTACTGAGACTCCCAGACCCAGTGCATTTAAAATCTGTTGGATGAATCAGCATTTCTTAGGAAGCCTGTTTTAAAATATGGCTATTTGCAAACAGTGGCAAGGAATGCGGGCATTTAAATCAATTGACCGTGAACTCTTCAAAGTTCAAGGAAATCATTAAGGGCTGATAAAGTCAATAGAAGTTTGGGTAAGAGTAAAAATACCCCTTGATATTGTTTGAAGGCATGTAATACCAATCAGTTCTAAGTGACTGAACCCCAAATATTGATAAAGAAACAGGTGCCTAAGGGCAGCTGCCAGTGGTCAAGCTGTGGGAGGGCCAGACTCTGGGTTCTTCCAGGCCTCTCCTCTGACAAGCAAGGTGAGCTGCGGGAAGGCTGTCACCTGTGCCTACAAGAACAACACGCACTTTTTAGAGAGGAAGACAAGCTTCCTAGTCCATAAAGCAAGGATCCTAAGATCTGGCCTGTTTATCTCACAAGTGAGGCATCCTTCTAAAGATGTTATACCAATTTTGGGTGGTGGCCTTACTCTTTAGGGAGAACAGCGCCCTGCGGGGCTGGTGGGGAGGAATGTCCACAAGTGTTGACAGGCAGAGTTTCTAAATGCAAACTTCCCTGAACCTCCACTTGAACCAAATGTGCCCCCTCCCAGCTGTTATTCACGCACAGATTCTGTACGCCTTCCACATGACAACTGTAACCAATTATTTGTATTTGTTGCCTAATTGATATGATCTCACATAGTCTGTTATAAACCCAAGGCTGTGACTTATTCCAACAGCAAATCCTCAGTTCCTTGAATTTCCAAGGCACAAAGTAGGTACATGATCAATACCAGTGAATATATCAATGAATGCTGAGAGAAATGGAAGATGCCTGCACCAGAGAGAACTTGCTTACACCAAAACTCAGTCACGATCCTCTGATTTTCTAAACCTGGCCTTTTATGTTACTCTTCTACCTGAAGTCTTCTGGGAAGAGAGGGAGTGGCCAGGATGCTGACGCTGGGGTCGGTTGCTCATTTGGCCACGGTGGCCGCAGATTCTCCCATCAGTGATAACGCCTCTGAAGGTAAATATTCAGAAGCTATATAGTAGGCAAAGACCACCACCACTTGCAACAGGCCAGCAGCCCCAGAGATCAATTTGGGGGAGGAAAAGCATGCACGCGAGTCCATCTTTTCACATTCTCTGCAAAATCTTTCAAGCCATGCTAAGGTGTGATGAGAGACTATCCGAGTGTAGAAAAGCCTGTGAAATACCTGCCAAGCTATACACAGACAGGTGGCAGTAAGTTTTTTGATTTTCTGAGATCGATTTAGCTACTTTCTAAGTAGATAAAAAAGGAAAAATCATCACCCAAAAAATACATTCTGCTAGCATTTCCCTGAACATGACCCTTCCGAGCTGCAGACAAACACAGGAAGTACAGCCTGTCACTAAAATGAATAGAAATAGTTTCCAACTTAGTGAACTACAAATCCTACTTTTTTCCCCACAACGGTGGAAAGGGTAAGTAATTTAATGATATTTGCTTTGAATTTGTGTTATCTTCCAAATGGCGATAAACTGGAAGGATGTTAGTCATTAAACATTAAAATTTTATTTTGGTTGTAATTAAATTTATTTTAAACTAACATTTTCTATTTATTGGCAGCTCTATAGTAGTGATAGAAAAGCATATCATATAAGCAGAACTCCAGACTATGGAAAACAACTATTAGTAAGGAAAGAGTTCTTTTATTTTTTCTTTGATATTTATTCTTAAAAAACAAACAAACACAACTCCCTCAATGATCCACACTCTTTTGCTGCAATTCAGGCCTTCAAGAGTGTAAAATCTATAAAACGGGATTCTCAGAAGCAGTAGCACCAGTTAAATATTATAAGAAGTGCTTATTTTAGGTGCTTGAAATTAAAACAAAAAAGAAATCAGTATTTCAGCAAATCTAAATTTACCTGATGTGCCTTCAGTGGTCTGAATTAAAGCATTATTATACCACTTATGCAAAGTAAATCAAGACACCTCAAAAAAAGGTGGCATAGTAAGAAAATGTCAATTTAATCATTTACTTTAGCAGGCAAGCAATTTGTAAACATTCAGTAGCGGCAGCATCCAAGTTACAAACAATTTAAAAAGAAACCAAGATTAGTGATTATAATTTTTCCTTCCCTTTCCCCAGAAAAAAGAAAAAGAGAGAAAAGATTTGGAAGTAAATGACTTAAAACACTACAAACGCTGAACATTCAGTTATGTTTTCTATCAGCCTTCTATGCGTCCTCTCCCTGTGTTGTATTTTTAAAGGTGTATCTACTCCTAAAATGCATCATCTTGCAATAACTGGTACGTGAACATCTGCAATCTAGGAAGTGGTTCCTGCACATGTATGTGCAGGCAGGATCTCAGTTTAAATCCCATTTGCAAAAGGAATATTTATATCTTGATTCAATGCTTCTTTGACTTCGAGGGGCAGGGTGTCAAAAAGGTGATCTTCCACCACAAGCCCACTTTTCTTGAGCAGGCGACACTGGCCCAGCTGGGCTGGCAGGCGGTCCAAGCAATTCCCCTTTAGCTCCAGCTGGGTGAGCTGTGACAGCTGACCGATTTTCTCTGGGAGGGATGTGATGCAGTTTTGCCCCAGATTCAAAGTCCTCAACTTAACACATTTAAACAGCTGTTTCGGCAGAACGTCCACTTTGTTCCCCGTGATATGCAAATGCTGCAGGTTCTGAAGCAATCCTATTTCTATTGGGATCATGGAAATGTTGTTGTAACTCACATCTAAGCATCTGAGTTTCTGTAAACTAAACACTGCCACTGGTAGGGATTCCAGCTTGTTGTTAGAGAAATAAAGTGACTCCAAGTTTTTGACGTGGGTGATGGAGGGTGGAATGGTGACAATTTTATTATGCCATAATTTTAAACAAGTCAGTCGTTTTAAATGCTGGAAACTGATGATTTCTTCAATTGTGCGGATGTTATTTGACTTTAAATCCAGTTCCTGTAAGTTAGAGAGGCTGAAAATAGCATGTGGAATTCTCTCTAGCTCACAGTTCTGGAGTTCAAGCTCGGCAACATTCATCATTTTCTTAAGGCTGTTCAGTACCAGGAGTTTAGTGCCGTCATTATGAATGACTAACTTGGTGAGATGTGGGGCCACATCAGTAATGTTGGAGGGGACTTTGGTCAAATTGCTCTTCACGTGGAGGATCTTAAGGTGCCGCAACTCTCGGAGAGATTCGAGGCCTATCATCTTATTGTTTTCAGAGTTCAAATTGCCTATCAAGTACAGTTCGCGAAGGTTTTTGAGCAGATACACCCAGGCAGGAATTTCTGCCACATCAGTGAACTTCACGTGAAGGCATCTCAAGTGATCGCGGAGAAAGCTGAAAGCAGTCTGCTCCACTTTTGCAGGGCAGTGGCACAGGTGAAGCTCTTGGAGATTAGTCATCTGAGAAATCTTAGCAGGAAGTTTAGCTTCTGGAATCAGCTCGAGTTTTAGCACATCCAGGTCTGTGAGGTCAAAGACAGCATCAGGCACGCCTGACAGCATAAACAAATGCAGCTCCTGCTTGTCCTGGGCATTGCGTGACACGTGCTGCCTCAGTTTTTCAAATGTCCACTCATGGTTCAAACTAATTTCCCGAAGTTTATTTTCACTGACTTCTGACAAGAACACCCCAAAACGCTTGGAATAGAGCTGGTCATACTGGTCTACCATGTGGAGAAGGAACGCAAAATCATTTTTGACATCTGGAATGTCACTGAAACTGCTCTCTTCTCTGACTTTTTCAAAAGAGTATTCCTTCAAAGGAATCCTGAATAACCAGAAGAGAGTGTAGAGGCAGATAAAACCATACACACAAATGATGGATATGTAACTGATGAGCAGCTTTTTCAGCATGTACGCCATGTTGTGGGTGCACTCGAACACCTCGTAACCGGTCAGGTGCTCCACTTTGGGCTTGCAGACGTGTTCAAAGCTGATTGCGTTGACAAAATTTGCTGTGTAGCAGAGAATGAAAATGAATTTGGCTGTTTTGATAACTGTTTGGACCACATAGAGTTTATAGATCAGGTCACTGTCTTCCACGTGAGCACGAAACTTCCGCACTTTCTCGAACAGGGCTTTGGCCTGTTCACCATCCTTTTTATCCAGGATGGTCATGCTGGGGACTTCAATCACGGGCTTCTCGGCTGAAAATTTGAATCCAGTCTTGTTGATCATCGGGGTGCTGGCGCTGGGGCTCCCTTCATCACTGCTTGTAGACACATGCTTTGGTAGAGTCTGGGCACCTGTTATTCTCTGCTTGTTTTCCTCCGAGTCTTCACACGCTGTCTCAGACAACGCTTTAGTAGTCCAAGGAGATTCAAAGCACTTTCCTAAGATCGAAACGAAATGCTCTACTTTTGAGCATGTTTTGGGATATTTGAACCAAAAGTTGCTACTGACCATGAGAATAATAGTATGTATAAGAGCAAGATATGGAAAGTACTTGGAATACCACGGAAGGGCCAGATGGTAACACATCTGATTAATAAACACATATTGCTGAAAATCCAAGTTTGTCTTTCGGCCAGTTGGGTCTTTCTTCTCTTTCTTGGCCTCCTGATTTGGAACCGTGGAATCTGCACGAGGATATGCGGCTCTGAGAGGTATGTCAGGTGTCACAGCAGATGCGCCAAAGGAAATCTCATTTGTCATCCGCCCATCTTGGTCTTGGTCTGTGGCTGATTCCATCTTCGGGATGTTGGTGGTAACGTCGGCATTTCCTGGTGTAGCATGTGCCTTTGAACTTACAGGAGCTGGCAATACTGGCAAGCAGACCACCTGATCTTTGGTAAGTTGCATGGTTCCTGCAAAGATGGCTACCATCAGCATAACGACAGCCAGGTAATCCATAAACACGTCCCACCATGGTTTCAGGATTCGGTAAGTTGGCTGAATGTCATTAAGTGAAGCAACTTCCGCAAGGGTAAACATTCCTAGAAAACAGGCAAACAAAAGATATTATGACACAGATGCAAATGGAAACATTAAGTGGCAAAATGCTTTCTATTTCTAGCCTCTTCTTACAGCTTCTCCAGTCAGCCAATCTCCCTTGCACTCTACTCCTACGCACTGTTTCCTCTTCCTGGAATACTTCCTCCCCGCTTCCCTTCACGAGGCTATCAGGTTTTTTGTTTTTTTCGTTTTGTTTTGTTTTTTTTTCCATTTATTTTTATTAGTTGGAGGCTAATTACTTTACAACATTGCAGTGGTTTTTGTCATACATTGAAATGAATTAGAGGCTATCAGGTTTATGGTGCCTTTCCCAGGAAGCCCTCCCTGATTCCTAGTCTGGGTGAGGTGCTTCTTTGATGCGCTCTCACAGAACTACGTACCTCTATCCATCACAGCCCTTATTACACTAGTAGCCAGCCTCAGGTGGCTCTTCTCTTCTAGCATGCTGCCCACAGCAGCCACTCCCCACCAAGGGTTTTGTGCCCCTGCCATTTCCTCCAGCCCATTTCCTTTTTTTTTTTTTCTGTTGAACCCTGACTTATTCTTCAAGTCCCAGCTCAACTGTTTACTTGTCTGATCCTCCCTAAGATTCTCAGTTCCACGCGCATAGGGATCATGTCCATCTTCCTTACTGTTATACAGCCAATGCTTGACACACAGTTGATGCTCAATCAATGAGACATTGTATTAGTTCCTGATCATCACCTTTATCACCATCATCATAATCATCAAAATTCCTCAAGTAGATTTATCCATGGTCTACATATGGTACTGGGAAGAAGAGCATTTTATTAAACTTAATTGCCACCACAAGCAACCTGGACCCACACGAGAATAAAAGCTATTAGCCAGTCCTCAACATAAACATAGCTAAAGGAACACATGGCAAAGAAGCTGTGGGATCCTTGTAACCACTGACGTTTTGCAGCTATCAAAGCTTCAGTGGTGGTTTTCAAGCACCTTACACTTGGGACAGGTTTTGATCCCGAGAGAGAGAAGAGAAGGCTGATTGTTTTCCTAGAGGAGGTAGAAAATAAAAGATGGAGGGTGGAGAACACAGCAGCAGGGTACTGTAAGGTCACACTGACCCCGAATGGTCACCAGCTCTGCCCCATGCATCCTAGCAAGGGTGATAACACCCGAAAAACCAATACCAGCCCGCAGTGATTCCAGCCTCAGGTGGCTCTTCTCTCTTAGCATGCTGCCCACAGTAGCCACTCCCCACCAAGGGTTTTGTGCCCCTGCCATTTTCTCCAGCCCATTTCCTTTTTTTTTTTTTTTTCTGTTGAACCCTGACTTATTTTTCAAGTCCCAGCTCAAGCACTGCCTCTTTCTCAAGTTCCTATTGTACCCTCTAAAAATAATCTATTTCCAGTGTTGGCCTCTCCAACTAGCTCTTGAGCTCCTACTGGGTAGAGACTATGTCTTATTCACCCTTGGATCTACCGTGTCCTACTCTCTCCCCTTAAGAGCAGAGAAGGCAGTGAGTACTGATGATGATGAGGAGGAGGAGGGTGATAATGATAGCAGCTATCATTTGTCATCTTCCTTCCGTATACCAAGTACCATACCAGGAGCTCTGTATCTTCATAATCCCCTGCTTCTGTACACAGCACATTCCTGAAATGAACGTATTAAATTTGAAGCTTTGGGGGCTGAGGGAATGATTCCACTTCCAAAATGCTACACAGTCTTATAAAATCCACCAGAACTCCTAAAATTAAAAATACAGATAATACTGAAGATGTGAGGATGTGGAGCAATTAGAACTCAAACACTTCTGGTGGGAGTATGAATTTATACAAATATGCTGGGAAATTTTTTTTAATATCTACCCAAACTGAATATATGCATACTCTACGGCCCAGCATTCCCACTGCTAAGTATACACCTGTGAGAAATACATATACCCATCAAAAGACATGAATAAGCAATCACAGCAGCACTCTGCAACACCCCTAAACTGGATTATCCAAACGTCCATCAGCACTAGAACAGAAAACTCAGATGTGGTGCATTTACAAAGTGGACCATCAGGCAGTAACGAGAATGAATGGTCTGGTTATGTGGGTGTGTTCAGTTTATAAAATGTGATCTATACACTTAGGCTATGTACCTTTTTTGGTATGCATGCTTTAATAAGGAGCTTCAAAAAGAAATGGTAAAAGAAGCTACAGCAGAAACAGCTTTCCTAGGAATGTGCTGGGACACCACATTGAGGCTTTGCCTCACCCCTGTCCCAAGGCACACCCAGGCCAGCTGGGGTCACAGGCCGGGAGAGTCAGGAACTTCCTCCAGCAGTCTGCCGTTACTGTCCTCTCCCTGGCCTGAGAGGAAGGGCCTGCTCTCCCTGGGGTAAAATCTGCCACAGAAAAGAGGGTGCAGAGGTATGAATATACAATGCACAAAAGCTCTGGTTGCTAACAGTTGAACGTACACAGATGGAACATTGCCTGGATTCCATCTAACCTTCACAACATTACTCTAAGCTGCCTAAGTGTTATTGCTTTCCTTTGACAAGCAAAGACATAGGCTCTCAGGAGTTAAGTTGTGCAAGTCAAATAATTAGTGGAGTGGAGTCTGGGCTTAAAATCTGATTTAAGGCCAAACCACCTGTTCTTTCTTCCAGATTCTAAGGTCTCTTCCCATGTTTGCAGTGCTTTACAGTTTGCAAGCTACTTTTCCATTAAATGTCTCAACTGATTCTCACAACAACTCTTTTTTGCCCATTACTATTGCCCAAGGATATAAGGAAATCTGAGGCACAAAAATCTTAAGTGACCTTCCTGAGCCAATTAAGTGACAGAGCTAACAGAATCTTTCATCTTCAAATCTCTTTTCTATCACACTGTTATTCAGTGACTGTGCTCTTGGTTAAGGCTTGGCTGTTGAAGGAAGGACCTTCTCACTGTTGTCCTTGGCTTTGAGGAGACAGAGGAATGAAATTATGTAATCAACAACTTCCCTAGAACAACCTTTCATGACATTCACTCAGAATTCAAAAAAAAAACATGCGTCAGGCACCATGGAGCAGAAGATAGAAATGGTCCCTCAAGGAGCTCCTGCTCAAATGGGAGATGACACGCAATAAGTGTATTATTATGACATGGTAAGAAAATTGCTCTTACCTGGTTAATGCAAAGTATAGGGGAGGCAGAGAACAGGGCAAACTTAGAGCCACACTGGGTAAATGGGAGGACTGCAGAGATCTGGTTTTTCAGATGAGACTAGAAGGATGAGAACTTCCATGGGGTTGTGGGGAGTAGAGGAATATATTTTGGCAGAACAAATAGCAAGTCAATGGCATAGACACATGGGAGAAATTATGTTACAGAAATTATAAGGAATTCTTGTTGTTCAGTTGCTAAGTCGTGTCCGACTCTTTGTGACCCTATGAACAGCAGCACATCAGGCTTCTCTGTCCTTCACTATCTCCCCGAGTTTGCTCAAACTCATGTCCACTGAGTCAGTGATGCCATCCAACCATCTCATTCTCTGTTGCCCTCTTTTCTTGCCCTCTATTTTTCCCAGCATCAGGGTCTTTCCCACAGTCAGCTCTTCACATCAGGTGGCCAAATAATTGGAGCTTCAGCATCAGTCCTTCCAATGAATATTCAGGGTTGATTTCCTTTAGGATTGACTGGGTTGATCTCCTTGCTGTCCAAGAGGCTCTCAAGAATCTTCTCCAACACCACAGTTCAAAAGCATCAATTCTTTGGTGCTAAGCCTTCTTTAAGGTCCAGTTCTCAGATCTGTACATTCTAATGTTATTCTATTATTAGTCTAGTATGTCTCTGTATAGATATCACATTTAATGGGTAAGTCAAGAGATGGAAACCAAAGATGGTTTCAGTGAAGTTATAAGGAAATGCCTGGGCCATAGGCAGGAAACCAGTAGTTTTTTGCAATGTCGACCATTGACTAGGTCTTATCTTGAACACAGGACTTCAACTAATGTGTCTGTTCTCCAATTTCACCTATCAAAAACGGGGTGGAAAACTGGAAGTGTTTCAACCACTACCTGAATTAAAGATGTAGTGGCACTTTGAAAATAAAAATTGCTCTTCATATATAGTATACATGTGTGTGTACAAAGTACATTAACTACATATTCATATAACATAGTTTAAGTCTCTTATGATACTCAGGTGACTTTTTTCTAATCTCAAAATCAAGTTAATGAGGGAGGAGACTGTATTTAGATATCTTGAAGCTTGATCTCCTTAGCCATTAGTCAGAAATGGCTATCACTGGTTATTAGGGGATTTTTTTTTTTAAACCTGAAGAAGGCACATTAATAAATACTGATTGCATACATGCTTTGAGTTCCCTTTTATATATCTTCAAGAATTACATTATAAGTAAGTAGATTTCACATTCTAAGACTTCTCTATGGCACATATGAAAATCAGCTTAATATCCCATTAGCAAATATTTCTCATGGATGGTGAGGAAGCTTTTTGTAGCAAAGTTGAAAGGGGGAAGTTACTGGACTTTGGTTGGACAAAGATGAATCAGAAAATTATAGAGAGTGGGTCTATATTATTTTATGATATATGATTCTATTTCTTATCTTACGGCCAATGATAGTGGAATAAACCAACAACTAACAGTCAGATTCAGAAATTAGAAATTACGATGTTTTGACAACCCTGTGACTATATTAAATTAAGCACTGAACTGTATACCTTAAAGGGCTTCCCTGTTGCCTCAGACAGTAAATAATTTGCCTCCAATGTAAGAGACCTGGGTTCAAGCCCCGGGTTGGGAAGATCCCCTGGAGAAAGAAATGGCAACCCGCTCCAGTATTCTTGCCTGGGAAATCCCATGGACTGAGGAGCCTGGTGGGCTACAGTCCCTGGGGTCACAAAGAGTCAGACATGGCTGACCGACTATCACTGTACACCTTAAATGGGTAAAATTTATAGTATATGAACTATATCCCAGTAAAACTATTAAAACTTAGAAGCTAGACCTCAAT